CAGTAGAGATAACATATTATCCTACCCACAAAAAATGGTGTCCAGTTGTGGTCCTAGATTCCTACCCTCAAACTCCTTCCAGGAATTAAATACCGTAATGCATTTAAAGGAAATGTCTGGTTAATTTGTATATATTTGTTAAGTGTATTAAATCTTTGATTATTCATTTTTGCCCTCTTTATTTACAGGCCTACCGTATCGTCGGTCTCGGCCCACCACAACCGACTTGCTCCCTTTATACTATCCTACGCTTATGCTGGAACCTTACTCCATATACGGCTATTTGCCCCTTACACACAGAAACATATATACATACATACATACACACACACACAAATGAAAATCATTTTAACCCCTTAAGGACCAAACTTCTGGAATAAAAGGGAATCATGACATATCACACGTGTCATGTGTCCTTAAGGGGTTAAAGGAAAACTACTGAGTGTGCTCTCTTTAGAAAAGTGATTGAGTCACCTTTGTATATTTCTTGCCAAGGTGTACCTTCAGCCTCACAGCAATAAGTTACCTCAAAGGAGAGCGCTCATTGGTCTTCTTATGAACTGAAATTCCTCTAAAAAATGGGTTGATTCTTAACATTAACATTTTTCTCCATAATTGCAATTTTATCAGCATACATAATATTGACTGACACATTGATGTTAAGAATTAACCCATTTTTGAAGAAATTCAAGTTCACAAGAAGACCACTGAGTGCTCTCTTTGAGGTAACTTCTATGTGGGTGAGAAACGATTGAGAAACACTGGTGTGTGTGTGTGTGTGTATATATATATATATATATATATATATATATATATATATATAACATGCCAGTGCTCCTCAACATAGGAGAAATAAAATGCATACACAGAACAGTGTCATGTTGCCCCACAGAACATGCCAGTCAGTAATAAATTCAGTAGGTTTTCCATTTAATAAACACCCCAGTATGTTTGCCCTTTAACATACACCACAGTAAGTATGCTTGTTTATTAAGGAGCAAACGTAATGTGATACTTATTAACAGGCAAATTTACTGTGGTATATATTATTAACAGGCATACTTACTAATGTATTTATTACAGGTGCTCCCCCTGCTTCTTGTAAAATGTAAAAAAAAAGTTAAAACACAGTTTAACATAAAACAATAAATACATTGAAATTGCTACCTCTGTCTGTGCGGCCAGCGTTCGTACAGTCTAACGCCACGTGGCAGAGAAAACCGCGGCCATCTTTGTTTATGCGAACAAAGGCAACGGGACCTGGTCGTCGAGTGCATGGAACTGAAAACGGACACTCGACTTCCCGAACACCGGTTCCAAACAGACGAATGCTGGAACTCTATTTACCGAATAGCTAGAAGAGCGCTATTCGGTACTTTGGTGTATTCGATAGAGGGGCACGAACGCTGCTAGGAGCCAGAGGGATCCATTCGGTACTTTGTTCGTTTTTCTGCTATTTCTAAAGTGACCGGCAAAACCCACCAAATTCATGGAACTGTTTTGGGCATGCAGCCCAGGGTGAGCCGGTCACAGGAGACCTCCATAGTTTTTGCGAACCCCTGAACCGATCTGGGTGAAATACTATCAGGGCTATCAGGGGACATGTGAATTGTGGGGATACCCCAAGTATAAAGGGGTGTTCCAGTTATTGGGGAAAAAGAGAATTTTTCAGCCCGGAGATAATTAAGTTATTCTTTTATCAGACTGAATTATCTCCTGGGCTAGGGGAGGAAACTGTGGGTGTGTGTTGAAGTTTTACTGTATGTGATTGGTTAATGTTTGTCCCTCCCTTAGGGCTGTCCCCTTGCATGGGGACTTGCATAAAAGCTGTGTGCACCCATTTTGTACCCTTCTTGACTTCGGCTGATGTTTTGGGATTCGTGTGTCGCTAGACCTATACAGCCCTAATTCTGCCTGCAAAACTCCATGGTATGTTAATGAAATGTTGTAAGAAAGAGTGGTGTATACATATAACCCCCATGCATCAAAAGGTACTTATGCATTCAGTCATATTGGGCTGCCCACATATCATGGGAATGAAATGAAGGCCCAGTACAGCCGCGTGTGAAGTTCTTGGAACTGAAACAAGACCTATATAGCATTTATTTACAACCTTGCTATCGGTAAGCAGTTTCAATATGAGATCTATGAAGGATTTAATAACTCGTCTAAATAGATATAGGTGAACCGAAGTGCTTAATGTGAGGTCAAGATAGTGTACATAATGGAGGGATTACAACTACCCCATGAGAATGGCCAAATGAGGGTCTTAAGGATAGATATGTTGCCGATAACTTGTAGAATAATGGGGTAGTATGCAAACCCTGTAAGACCGATCTAATGCAAATTAAATGCCTAAATGAGGTTTTGAATTAGGACATGGCATGTAGCCCACTGTGGGGCATATGACCGCACATTGTAAAGGCCTAGTGAAGGCCATGAGTAAGAAATTGCGTAGCATACCAGAAGGTGTCCCAATTTGTGTCCTGAGTTACAGGAGGATTGTGCCGCTGTGTTGGGATTAATGCAGGTGAAGGTAGGATGTGAATCAGAGAATTGTTGTGGAGAAGTTGTATGTAGCCAAGACATGTTGGTGATGAGATGGTAGAGCACCTGATAGAGTTTCTAATAATCATCTAGTTTATGAAATGGTGAAACTGCATAGAACTTGTATGTAAACACTTACAAAGCATCATATAATACATACCCACAGAGCCAAATAAAACAGGGTGTTGGCAGACAGAATTAAACAGGAACAGATGCCTCTAGAATGCCACAGTGGCTGAACAGGTTAGCGGCCGTGACAACCGTACTTAATCGATAGGAAGAGACATGAGCTATAAGATATACATTAAAAAAAAAAAAAAAACCCTACATGTGGAATGCTTAGGAAGATGAGAAATACATATGCATACACAACAGGTATGGAAGATTAGGGTTGAAAGCAACAGCAAATGCTAGAACAATGGTAGAATATCTCAGTAATATTAACATCAGCTAAAACTTGCTTAAATTGAACATGACTGAATGAGGTTTACATAATGCGTGTAGACCCTACAAATAAGACAGTAAAAGTAATCACAATACCGAAGCCGGCCTTATATGGCCAAATATGATTGACATGTGTTAGTGCAACCAATAAACAAGCGATCTAAGTGGGCTGAAATGTTAACAGTGTCTAAAAAGTGGATGAGGTTGTACTGTATAAGGAAACCAGCACGGTCAAATGCGGACTGAATTTATGGAAGGTGGAAAATCAATGTGCTTGAGTGGTAGAATGAGGCCATAGCAGACAAATCATAAAATGCAGTAACGCAGAGTCGGGCTTAACTGTAGGGTACGTTAAAACACTCGTAAAGTAGGGCTTAAGACTTACTTGTAAATTGCTTATGACTGGAGAAAACTAACTCAAAGGGGCACTCTTAGTGTGCGATTGGACAGCCACAGAAATACCGGGCAGGGTTAGAAGGGAGAGCAGGCAGAAGCAGCAGACAAGAGAACTGCAGATTTTGCAAGCGGTTTTAGATTATACCGTATGAAAAACTTACATAAATAAATGCATGCATGTTGTCATTCAGGGCACATCCACTAAACAGTGATTTCCACTTAGTTGTATTTGGGCAGTAGTGCGTCCCTTCAAGTGCATGCAGCATTAATATATATCATACAGAGATGTAAGCAGTAGGCCATACAAAATGACCCTGGAATAACCTAAAATAGCAAACTATTAATACAATGTTATTTGCAGAAAAAATGTGAAAGTAATTTCTGGAAAACATGTGAGAAAACAGGACAACATTGGCGAGCCAATGTTAGTTAAGGCTTAAATATGCAGGGATGGCTTAGTACTTAGTAAGCGTGCAATAAACAAATCCCAATGACCAAACAGGCTGTTACAGTGAAACAAATCCAGTATATAATAAGAATTATTAATGTGCAATCCATGTGTTATTATTATTACTATCTACTGCTGTTTTATGAGTCATTTGGACAAGTTACTTTTAAACTAGAAGATTAGTTTTATGCTATATCTGTTTTTTTTCTGTTGTTTTATATGTTATGGACTTTCTAAATATAGACATTTATAAGATCTACCCCTAATCAGTCTATGGGGAGTTTCTATAATGATTGATGCAAACCACGCCCGTGTATGGGCTTTAAAAGGCAGGACTAGCTACATCAGGATGTGATCTGAGGAAGCCGATTGGGCGAAACGCGTCATCACGTCGATTACGTCATCACGCCATCACGTGACCGGACGAAACTCCGAGTTCCAGGAAGTGAAGCCTGCAGTACCGAAAGTCACCAGGGACTGGTAGATATTTACTATACAGTACTGGCAAAAGGTTATTAGGCTGCTATATGGAAACGGAGAGTGTGGATTTTATTTACTTTCAATAAAGCTGTTTTACTTTTGGAAGCTGGTGTCCTGCCTATTTGCACCAACATTGAAGTCCTGGTCTTTGGATTTAAAGCTGGATCAGTTAGAGCAGGCTTTTACTGCACTTTCTTTGTGAGTGATATTCCTAATTTTATTTGCTGGATTTTATATTTATGTAAACAATATTATACTATGTTTCTCCATTTTATATCTCTTTTTACATATGTTCTTATGTGATTTGGAGAATTCAAGGAGATATGCATTTCCCTTGTAAGTTATTTGTTTTGGATATTGAATTTTTACACTATCACATTTGCATTTTGCACTTATGTCACACTAAATGTGATTATATTGTATACACACTCTGTGTTTTTGCACAAATTATTGCACTATTTGCACTTTTTAATATTTAAAGGTACAGCGCACCTATTTTTATTTTGGATTTTATGTATGGTGTTCTATGAGCTTGTACACTTTTAGGTGCTGCTACACTTTTATTATCTTTATATTTTACATTAGCACTTTCAGCGCCTTTATTGCTTGTTTGTTTTTTAGTTTTCCTACTGTACTGAACCAGACAGTCTCAGCCCAGAGGGAGGGATCTGTGTATTTATAGCAATATTCCCTCCCACAACTACAGTCTCCGCCTTCCATATATATATAAATATACGCACATACATACACGATCTAAGTGTATTTTAATATATATATATATATATATATATATATATATATTGAAAGGCATGGCCTGAAGTTGTGGGAGGGGCTGTAGACCTACTTAAGGGACTCCCCCCTTCCTTTACTTACCTTCGTTGGTCTGGACGAACAGGGTGATACTCGCCGGCATCCTTTCCTTCCGACTTCCTGGTACGTGATGTCACTTCCGGTGAGACGTGGCGCTTTTCCCTACGTCACACGGTGAGCACCGCCGGCTCCACAACCCGCCCGGCTCTCCAGCCCGGCTCTCCAGCCCGGCCCGACCGGCACTTTCAGCCCGGCACCACCAGCCCCAGAACCTGACCGGCTCCCCAGCCCGGCCCGACCTGCTCTCCGGCCACCAACCCGACCGGCCTCTCTCCCCACCAGCTCGTTGGGGCGGTAAGCATGGCGCTTCCTCCCGGGTAAACAGTACGGCAGGCCCGGGTACAGGTACAGACATTAGGAGTCCCTGTTCCCGGCCGCCAGCTTTACCCATTACCCATTAACCTACCATGGGGGTTTGGAGGGGGGGGTGGGGACAAAATATGCGGCACGGGCGGGAACAGGCCTCACAGACCCCTATATCGTAAGGGGTCCCTGTTCCTGCCGGCAACACACAGGGAAGGGGGGGAAATAGCGGGGTCATCGGTATAAGACCCATTTTACCTGCTTTGCACAACTTAAGGGGGGCATGGTACGTTTCTGTTGCTGGCTGACCCTTAGTTCAGCCAGCTTCGGCCTTAATGATTACAATACATACACTTCCCAATTCAAATGCTTTTATTTTGCAATACTTTGCTGTTATGCATACAAATACTGCTAGTTAGAACTCTGGTTAAATATATATATTGTATGATATGCTTGATAAACATGGTAGTTATATAAATATGTTTTACTTATGGCTGATTAGATATGTTATAAGATATCTGCATTTATAGTAGCAAACGTTAGAGTCTTAAGATAATTAACCAAGGTTAAGGTTAAAGTACATGGCCTACTGGTGACATTGTCACTATTGTGGGGACAGTACTCGCTGCAATCACCCCCAAAGCACTTACTACTTCAGTTATACAATCTTATGTATATGTCCCACAAGAGTACATTATCATGAATACCCTCAGACGGGTCACCTAAGCTAACCCCCCCCATACTCAAGAGACCTCTGATTTCTCTTATACAGGAGCAGTGCTCATTTTTTCTACAGGAATGTTAGTTTCCCGTTATTTTTCAACACGGCCGTTTAGTTATTTCCCTGCCCCTTAGTCCTAGCGGTCCGCGAGGCCAACTTCCATCCTCCACTTCGAGGTACTATACGCCCCTCAGGCCAAATCATAGCTAGCCGCCTCGCAAATTATATAGAGAGGGCGACACCAGTCACCATCAAATACCCATCTCCCCCCCCACACTCATGGAGAGGCCAACGTCCCATCACCAGTATAGGTTACCACGCCCCTCGCGCCAACTCATAGATAGAGCCTCTCTAGCCACTTGGCACTAGTAGGGCCTCACCTGTCACAAACCTAGACTAATCTTTCGCCATCTGGCACTAGCTAGCCACCTGTCAATTCCAACCCTGGTTACCAACATGTCTATTATATATTTTCAGTATGTCCCTACTCCCAGACGATGGTGAGCATATGTCAATCCCTAGCACCCCTGCTAGGTCACTTACTCCGATCCGCAAGGGCGACACGGGAAGTCCCTCATCCATCAGATCATGGACTATCCCCCGCATCACTGCAGAATTATGTAAACGCAGTATTCCCTTCTCAGCTACTGCCAGGAATGCAGAACTGTTCAAATTACTAAGAACCAATACCATTAATACAGACGCAGGGGAAGGCACAAGCAGCTCTCAAGATCCGACTCTCCATGCTATGGTTGCCTCCCTAATCTCTTCTATGGGGAAGGTCAACGACAGGCTGGAGAGGCTGGAAGCCCGTAGCTTCCCCGCACAACCTCCGGCCCTCTCTCCGAATTAATCCCGGCCATACTCACAGCAATAACGGGTAATTCCATATCCACCAAGGCAGCCGCCCACGTTATTAATCCTGCCCACATGGTTCCGGCAAATCTTAAAAAAGACATCCGTCTCACTGTTCATTGCCTCCCAGGATATCGTAGAAAACCGGTCTTACGACTACGGGGTTTTAAAAGCCAGAGACCCCAGACTCAGTAAGAAACTCGCCATTCCTGTTTTTGTTCTGGCCTTCGGTATCTTTAGAGATATTCTATGCACGGTTCATCCCCATAGGAGGGAGGAACTCGATCTATCTATGCATAAGCTGGTGGACCTTGATAATAAGTATGGTGGCAATACTTTTTACGATTACCACAAATCCTTTTCATCAAAAGTGTCTGCCACGTTGTCTCAGTACAGCATCCAGATGGATTGGAGCCAACTGGACAATGAATCGTTCCTCAGACATTTCGCGGGGCTTAGGACACCAGCTTGTACCATATGTACATCACCCGCTCACGCAGTCAATTTCTGCCCTCTCTGTCCAGACAGCGCTCCCGGCTCATCCTTACAGCATCCCCCGAAGGTTGAGAAACAGACTAGCGACAAACTGGATCATCCAGGAGTGTATCTAGGCAAATCTCAGATTTGCAATAATTTCAACGAGGGCTCCCGCGGCTACAGCGCCTGCCGCTTATTGCACGTGTGCTCGCATTGTTTCAGGGCACATGCGAAATCCATGTGCCCTAATAAAATGTACCAGAAACCTTATTTGTCTCCGGTGAACGTTCCTTTTCTTGCACGTATGCGGTCCACGCACCCCTCCAAACACCTCGTTGATTTTTTATGTACGGGTCTCACCCAGGGTTTTCACACAGGGCTCATTTACATGCCAACTGGGGTAATAGAGTGTCACAATTTACAGTCTGCCACTAACCACCCTACGTCAGTCACCACATTGTTACAACTGGAAGTGGATCAGGGATTTGTCATTGGGCCTTTTGTTAACCCACCCTTTTCCAGCTGGAGAACTAACCCTATCGGGTTGGTTTCCAGAAAAAATTCTGAGAAACTAAGACTCATCATTGACTTATCCGCACCCCACTCCGCAGCCATCCCCAGCCTAAACTCATTGATTCCATCTGAGGAATTTTCCCTACAATACTCCACTATTGACGACGTTATTGCAGCTATCAGATCTTCAGGGTTGGGGGCTTGGCTCAGCAAGACGGACATTGTGAATGCATTTAAATTATTACCTATACACCCCTCTTTGTGCCACCTGCATGGCGTTAAGTGGCAAGACACCTACTACTTTTTTACAAAGCTCACTTTTGGGGCCAAGAGTAGTCCCATGATTTTTGACACGTTTGCAGAAGCTTTGTGTTGGCTCCTCCTCAATACCTTCTTGATTGGGGTTGTTTAGATATACTCTCCTGGGGGGAATCTTGTCAACGAGACTGTATGGCTCATGTACGTCCTGTTTGTTTACTTAACGTGCCCACGGCTAAACCACTCTCGGTTTCTGTCCCTTCTGTTTATGCAGACCTTGCCTTGGTTTTTGAAAAGAGGGAGGCAGATAAGCTACCTCCACATCGTGAGTATGATTGTGCCATAAACCTCTTACCGGGTACTATGACTCCTAGGGGAAAGGTCTACCCTTTTTCTGAAAAAGAAAACCAGATCATGGAGGAGTACATACGGGAATCCCTAAGTAAAGGTTTTATTAGAAGGTCCTCCTCTCCTGCTGGTGCTGGTTTCTTCTTTGTGGCAAAGAAGGAGGGCGATTTGAGGCCATGTATAGACTACAGGGGTCTGAACAATATAACGGTTAAAAACGCCTACCCTATCCCCCTCATCACTGAGTTGTTTGATCGTGTTAAAGGTTCTAAATTCTTCACCAAATTAGACCTCAGGGGGGCTTATAACCTTGTCCGTATAAAGGAGAATGACGAGTGGAAGACAGCGTTCAACACACGCAGTGGGCATTACGAATATCTGGTCATGCCTTTTGGACTGTGTAATGCTCCTGCCGTGTTTCAGGACCTCATAAATGATGTCCTTAGGGATCTATTGCATGTCTGTGCTGTGGTGTACCTTGACGACATACTTGTGTATTCTCCTGATTTGAAGTCACACCATAACCATGTTAGGATGGTGCTCAAAAGGCTATTGCAGAACGGACTCTACTGTAAGTTAGAAAAATGTTTATTCGATCAGACCTCTGTGCAATTCCTAGGATATATCATTACTAAACAGGGTTTCAGTATGGATCCTGCTAAATTGGAAGCTATAATGTCCTGGCCACTTCCCCAAGGACTAAAGGCTATCCAGCGTTTTATAGGATTTGCCAACTATTATAGGAAATTTATAAAAAACTTTTCACCACTCATATCTCCCATAACGAAGTTGACAAAAAAAGGTCTACACCTTAGGGTTTGGACTCCTGAAGCCCTTAAGGCCTTCGAAACCCTCAAGAAGGCATTTGCCTCTGCTCCAGTGCTGCACCACCCTGATCCTTCTCTTCCCTTTGTTATGGAAGTAGACGCCTCGGAGTCAGGTGTGGGAGCCGTACTGTCACAGAGGTTGTCTTATGACAAACCCCTCCATCCCTGTTGTTATTTTTCTAAAAGGTTGTCTGATTCAGAGAAGAATTACGATGTTGGGAACAGGGAACTATTAGCTATTGTGTTAGCTTTCAAGGAATGGAGGTACTTATTAGAGGGTTCTAGACACAAAATTATGGTTATAACAGATCATAAGAATCTATCCTATATTGCTGATGCTAGAAGGTTATCTGCCCGGCAGGCTAGATGGTCTCTATTTCTCTCACGCTTCCAATATGTTATCACCTATAGACTTGGTTGCCGTAATGCCAAAGCTGACGCTATCTCTCGGCAGCATGAACCAGTAGAATTTGTTAACCCGACTCCTGAACCTATTGTACCTGCGTCTCAGATAATAGCTGCTACCCGTTTGGTTGTTTCTTCACCTTTCCTTAATAGTATTAAGACATACCAAACCCAGGCACCCCCTGAGACGCCGGTTGGTAAACTATACGTTGAAGCTAATGACAGAAAAAAGTTGTTAACTTTATTTCACACAGCCAA